GAGCTGAACTAAAGCACTTTAGTTTAACATTTAGGCAGAGGGGCAATGTTCCCCGAGGGAGGCCATTATGTATGCCAATAGCTATAGACAACATCCTTTTAGTGATCATAGTAACAAATAGCAACAGAGAGCAAAGGTTAAAGTAAAAGAAACAGATCCAACATGGAGTCAGATTTTGTTCTTCCCTGTTACAATATTTTTTATATAGAAACCATTAGGTCTGATCTTTTAAGTACATCACCCTCCCACTACAGTGCTTTATTAGTTACAACGAGTTCTAGCGGCAGGCCCCACAAAAGATCGTGATAGCCCGATGTGTCATTCACAGATACTGGGAACTGCAGTTTTAAATATCCTTCCTCCTCAGGATTCTATCCCAGGACATTCCTTCCACAGTCTCTCAACTTGCTGTGCTTTTAATTTGCTATTTGATGTGATTCTAAGTAAAGAAAAATTTTTAAGTGATTAGCATAGATTTTACAGTTTATCTTCGTACTGTGCAATGCCCATTTGTTTCAAATGCAAACAGAAGAGCAGTTAACTGCTGTGCAGAATCTCTGAAAATTACACCATTTGCATGTTCTAGCTCAGGTATGCATATGTATTTAATTCTTTACCAGAGCATTGTAAAGGCTACACAAATGGTACTCCATGGTTTTCATTTCACTTCTTGATATGCGCATATTCTACCAACATTCTCTAGTAAGGACGGTGTGAAAAGAAAAGGAATAATGGATTGTTTTCTCTTTCCTTTTCTTCTGTGTCATCATTTTCAGCGTAAGTGATTGGCTCTACAGGGAAGTAACATAGTAAGAAAGGATACGACAATGTTCTTCGGTTGCTTGCCTTTTTTCTGTGTTCAAAACAATTTTGGTTCAAACAGAAGGGGTAGCCTCTCGGGGCTGTCAGCTCCCTGCTTAGTGGACCATGCACTCGTAGCTGTCATATGCTTCCCTTGTTCTGTCTCTGAGTCCCCCTGAATGCCACTCCCCCATCCCCACATCGTGGGTCCACCATAATGCTGTGCTTGTGGTGCATCCTGAACACGAGATATGAAGAGAGAGCGGGAACGGGGAGGCATGCCTATTACACCCATCTCCACTGCTCAGAACACGCTGCATTGTCCCATCAGCCTTCCTTTACAAAACCCAAGTTCAAAGATAAAATTATTAAGAATTTCAACATGGTGACAGCAGAGATTTCAGCCAAGCTCTGGGCCCTCTTGAGTACATGGCCCTCACGTGCCTCTCAGGTCACACACCCACGAAACTGGCCCTACCCCATTGCCTCTACTCTGGCCACGTCGGTCTCTGCAGTCCCGTGTCCCTTCCTTCTGAAGGGTACTACAGTGTGCTGCCCCCTCTGCCTGAAACTCAGTCCCCTCCCTCGTGGCCTGGGTGCCTCCCTGTTTCTCTTCCTGTGATCTCAGCTGAGCCATCACATCCTTAGCTTAGACCTCCCTGCCTGACCTGCCCAAGTCAGAAGTCTCTTAGCACCAAGAAGCCCTCCTTCAATGCGTGTATCACCATCGCCATCCTTCATAAAGGTAGCTGATTATCTGATTCCTTATTTCCCTCCCACACATGACTGCCAGCAGCTTATAGGCCAGGGTTTTGTTCATCACAGTTTTGCCAGTGCTGGTGCATTGTCCCTAATAAATATGAGGTGAGTGAATGGATGAATAAACGAATGAATGTTTTTGCAACCAGAACACACAGGTCAGATGAAGAGGTGGGATAAATGAGTGTGGCATGAATTCTAGTTTTTGTTTAAAGGGGGCTAAGTCCCATCTCAGTCTGAGCTGGTGCAAACTAAGTGAGCATGGCACCGCCCTTGTGAACTTCACTGTCTCTTCTAGGAGGTAATGAGGACTTGAGGATCGGGTATCTTTATCCCTTAAGGTATACAAGTCATTTTTTATGTGTCTCCAGACCCAGCATGGTGCCTTGCACTTACTTACTCCATCCTCAAAAACTTCTGGTTCTATTGAGCTGAATTTAGTTCTATGAAAATACGTTGCCCTGAGGTTTACTTTTTCTTGCCTTCCCCTTTTGTCTGCATTTCCCCCTCCTCCTTTGCCTTTTCTTCCTTCCTCTCCTTTCTTCTTGTTCAGGATTTCTGAGCCTTGAGAACTACTTTAGGTGTGATCAAATATCTCCAACAGAAAATGACCCTCATTTATATTTAGTTTAATTGGACTCTTCAAAGAGAAATGGTCTGGTCTGATGGGTCTTAGAATCATGGCTGTAGTTGGGCACTCCAGAGAACACCCCAGAACCAGTCTGGGCTCATTCGCTGCTAATATTCCCACATTGGCATTGATCTTGGGATAGAATCTCAAAGCAGGCATGTCAGAAGTCCATCCCTTCAACCCCAGCCAATTCAGAGCAGAAATGAAACTTGAGGATGCGATGTAACCTGTTCTCCTGCCCTGAAGGCTGCAGAGCTAGCCTTGTCCGAGAGGCAGTAACTGGCCTGAGCAACAGCGATGGAATGGGAACCAGCCTTCTTGTTAGAGCCTGGCCCACAAGCTGTCTGTCTTGTCCATTATTCCACAACTACATTTGAGAAATGGCCAGGAGGGAATGTAGTGAAAGTGGAGTGTTCATAATGAAATTGAGGATTGACGAAATAATAAAAAACAAAAGCCTAAAGGTAAAACTAGTATTGACTGACCATCTCAGAAAACATAGTCAGTAAAAGATCGGGGCACTTTCCTATATGTAAAATGGGGTGGGGACTTCCTCTCCTGAGTGAGCCTTGAGTGGGAATGTAGAATGTTACTGGAAGCAATTCCCTCGGCGGTCCCCTTAGAAGTAATGGGGCTGCTTGGAGACGGCGCGGTGGGGCAGAGAGGGCGTGGAGTTACGACTCAGCCATACTTGGGGTTTACACCAACTTTCGCTCTGTGACCTTGAGCAAGTAATAACTCCTTTGATCCTTTTTGCTGTTGTTGTTAATTTGTACAGATTGGTATAAAACACCTGCCTTGCAGGGTTGTTGTGACGATTAAACCAGATCACCTGGGCGGAGGTACAAAGCTCGATGCCTGACACACAGCAGCCATGCAGCCGCGTTACCCCTTCTCCTCACGGTGCCTGTGCTTTGTGGGCAGATGCCTGGTCACCCTGAGCCTGAGGCCCCCCTTAAACTCTAGACTGTAGGCACCTCATCCTGGTCACAGCAGTGCAGCTGGGGCAATGTCAGACCAGGCTTGGGGCATGTCAGGTAGATGTTCTCCCTGCGACATTATGTCCTGGGCCCTTTTACAGGTGACACAGTTGAAACCCAGAGAGTCACTATAATTTGACTAAATCAACAAGTCAGTAGTGAACCTGGAACGTGACTCAGGCCCCTGGGCTCAAGCCTGTGTTTTACTCCCCAGCAGCCTATAGCTGGACACCTTGCTGCCCGTGTCATGTGACACTCACACACCCCTTTGCACTATGAAGGGTCTTTCTGGACATCTGCACATTGTCTCCCCAACAAGCGTGTAAGCTCCCTCAACACAGGAAGAGAACGTGTCTCAAATCTTCATTACTTTCCAGGACACTTACTACAGGGCTTACAGTCAGGGTTCAAGAAACAAACATCCATCAACTGAGATAAAGAAGATATTTTCGCGGTCTTGTTTTAATGCTGAGAAATAGCTATAATACACATGAACCCAGCTGACGGAGAGAAATGTATTCATTGCACAACATGGTCAGCTCTTTAAGAAGTTGGCTTTTCAGGCTCCACAGGGATTCTGGAACTCACATAAACTCACCCCCACTGTTTGGAGAGAACATGGCAACTCCAAGTGGTGTCCCTGTCCCCGCAGGGAAGTGGTAGGTGAGAGACGTGAAGTGGGGGAGGGGAGAAGGGGGAGGGGGCTACAGCAACGCGGGGTGCTTAAACCAAGAGTAAAGGACAGAGCCGAGCAATGCTGCTCACAGTTACTGAGCAAACAGATCACCTGGGGACCCTAATTAAGTTAGCAGATGCAAACTATTATATATAGGCTGGGTAAACAACAAGGTCCTACGATGTAGCACAGGGAACTATATCCAATATCCTGTGATAAACTGTATAGAAAAGAATATAAGGGCTTCCCTGGTGGCACAGTGGTTGAGAG